GCAGTAAGGGCCTGTACAGTGACTCTGCAAGGTCACTGCCAGAGAGGCACCATGGTGATAATGTGTTTCATTTGAGGCAAATTCATCAATTCATGAGGAGAAAAGAAAGTCTATAAAAGGTTAAAGAGTTTCACCTCTGATACTGACAAAAGGGCAAGGCAAGGTGCATGGTCCTCAAGAGAAATCTACGCATTGTCTTGTTTTTCCCCCATTCTATTTACATATAGGTGATAATGTTGTTGTAAAAATTATTGGACTATGTAAAGCATCATGGCATAGATATTATATATGTGGTAGTAGAGAGATGTTCTCAAAAAAACTTCATTTAAAAGAACTTTGATTCTCATAATATGTTAAGGAAATAAAGAACAGGCTACAAAAATATCTAGAATATGTTACAGTATTAAAGATTTCAACCTGATGAAAATTTCTCTTTGTCTTGCACCATGACATTCTCCAATAAAATAAGTAAAAATCTTTCTTAATTTTATTACATTTTTTAAACAAAGGGATCATTAATTCCTAAATGAAAGCTAGAAGCTAAGTTCAAGCCTAGAGCTAATTTCCAGAGCAAGTTACAGCTATTCTAATTTTTATATTTTTAATTAAGTTATTGTTGATTTATCTGTGATGGAACAAACCATATAATGGTAGAATAGAAAACACAGATAATTATAGGTTAGTTCCCTCATGTTTGAAAGGGACTCATTCCTTGAAAGTTAGTTGAAAGAAAGAGCTTTTTTATGTTTTTTTGTTTTGGTTTTTTTGAGTTTTGTTTGTTTGTTTTTTGGTTTTGTTTTTTTTTTTTTGTTTTGGTTTTTTGTTGTTTTTTGGTTTTGTTTTTTTTTTTTTTTTTTTTTTTTGCTTTGGCACCTTTTCCAGGAATGTTACTAGTCCATTTTGAGAGAACATAAGCTTGGGTGATGTAGAGTCACAAGCCTCAGAAGAGGCTGAGAATTAGATGAAATATGTATGTAATCCTGTGAATAGTGGTAACCATGCCAAGAAATAGTAAGTGTACTTACCAAGTTATGATTAAGTCCCTCTCTGCCTGTTTTACCAATAAAACCTCAAGTTTGCTCTGGCTGATGAAGATACTGTTCATTCACTCCCTTATACACTGATTCCATCAGTAAATATTTAATGAGCACTTACTATGTGCCACAAAGAGTATAAACCTGAATAGAGAGTAATGAGCAACAGAGATAGCACTTGCTGCAGTTGTTTGAACTAAGTTACAGTACTTCAAAAGCTGATGTCTAATTTACTGAGTGAGTTATCGACAAAATGCGTTGGAAAATTATTTGGCAATAGATGAACTTCAAATGAATTTCTCATCACAGTTATCACAGAGAATGAGTTGTCTGATATATTTGGATTCATTATGTTGTTCAAATTTCCTAATGCCATGTTTTGTGAAATCCCCAAGTGGAATGCATTATACATACAGACCTGTCCAGTTCTGCTCTTTATGCCCACAACTGATGATACATGAAGTGTGGTGTTTGTTGTACGTTCAAAATTGTGTGTGTGTTAACCACAGATAATATTTTAGATTGCTGTTGAGAAACAGTATGAGAGTACTATCTAGCATAGAACCTGGTACAGAGGGAATGTTCAATGAATTCTTTTTTTCCAATGATTGAGTGAACTCTTCTATTTGTGTATCATTCTACACGATAATGTGTTGGTCATTATCATTATCAGTCCTACAAATAACACTTCACCTTCACCCGCAACTTACTCCTTTCTCTGTATTTTCTGATTTTAGTTACTGGCATCATTTACACCATTGCAGGTAGCAGAGCACAATGTTTCACTTAACAGAGTTCCTCCTTGTAGACTTCTATAGTCTGGTGGCAGGAAGTAAGAGCAGAAAGAGACGGCAGGAGTTGGGATGACCCATGCGCACTTGTGTATGTGTTGCTCAGTGTCTGGTACAGTGAAGACACTAACTGGTGTCCATGGAAGGGTTAGTCAGTGAGCGGCTGGGTGAGTCCTCAGACTGGCTGCAACTGAGCCCCACTCTGCCATAAGCTTTTTTTTTTTAAGGTTTATAAACTTTTTAATAAAAGTTTTATTTAAGAAGAGCTTGTATAATGAGTATCTGAGTGAGACTCTTCCTTTTATCTCAGTATTTTAGTTAAAACCTCAAGGCTGATAATTGATAAATAACACTATAGTCTAAAGAATGAAACAAGTAGCTCCCAAATAACCATCTCTAAGACTGCTAAAGAAGTGGTCAGATCTGTCCTTCACAGTCACCTCCATTATTCCAACCAGGCTTTATAATGATAAGACTAAAAATTCAAGAAGAGCGGTTCATGTAGTAGAATTTGTAAGAGTAGAAGTCTTTAACCAGGGAGAAATTGCCTACTGTCTCCTCACTCAGCCAAGTGGAAGGGGCTCCAAAGAAATCACTCAGAGGTTGAAATGGGTGTTTTTCAGAGAGAGAGACTGGCATTTAATTTATTGATGGATATTTGCCTACGCAGCAGACTGAGTGATCTGTGCCTTGATGTTCCTGGAGCAGATAGAGAGATGGTTGGAGAGATGTGAAGGACAGGAAGGGCAGCAGCACACATCCTGTACAGCTACCATTAGGTGAGGCTGTGGAGGATTTTTGTGGGCTCGGTAGATGTCATAACCGGTGATGAGACCCGAGCTATCTAAAGGCCCCAACACCCAGGAGGCTGGCCTGACAGTTGTGCAGAAGAGCCTCTGGTGGGGTGGACTTGCAGGGCTGAGGAATTAGAAGAGAGGTGGTTTGTAGGAAGCCATCTGAGGTCATCTAGAGAGAGCATTGCCCGTGTCAGGTAAGTCGGCATCAGGAGACAGCCAGTGTTTACATGCTCATCCCAGAGAGGTCATCTACAGCCGGGAGGGAACTGCCAACAGTTGCTAATAAGTGCTTCTTTCTTATAAGCCCTCCTCGTCTGCTCTAACTATGGGGGAGCGAGGGGTAGAAACGAGTGAGGGAGAAAAGAACTATTAAAGAATAGATTAGCTCCCTCACTCCTTCCCACACATTCTTCAGGCATAAATTGCCAGGACAGGGAAATCTAGGTTTTTATAGGGTCTTACACAATTCAGGGAACCTCCTTTAAAGAGGAGAATACAGAATCATGTGTTTGTAAGGAGCCCCTGAGAGTTCAGGGCCCCGAAGCTTAGTCTTCATTATCTTTGCAAGACATTTAAAACTTACAGGAGAGAGAATAAGAGCTGTGAATTGCACATGAGATTGATGCTTTTATTATTAGAGGCTAGACTTTTAGAAGTCCAATATTTACCTGTCATCCATCCATCTATGTACTTGCCTGCCTGCCTGCCTGCCTGCCTGCCTTCCTTTCTTCCTTCCTTTCTTCCTTCCTTCCTTCCTTCCTTCCTTCCTTCCAGCATTATCATCATTGTAATATGGGTGTTCCTGTAACTGAAAGTTACTGGAAATCTGATTTAGGCCCAAGTTATTATCAGGGAGCACAGAAAATAGATCTCTCATAGTATATTAAAAGGCAACAGCTGTAAAACAATAAAGCCACTTCCTGATTGTACCTCGAAACTATTTAACATCCTCAGCTCTAATTCTTTGTAAAATGGGGGAGGGAGAAAAGAGTATTTTATAATTACTTAAATTAAAACCATTAATTAGGAGTTAATTATTGATAAATAGTGATAAAAATATAATCTATGAGTGCAGTACCTTCAGAGTTCCTAAGTGTGGACCAAAGTGCCAGAGGAACAAGTTCCAGAAAGTAGACAGAGGTCCAGCTCCATTTTATTTTTGGTTATATAGAGGGCATAATGACCATTCTTTTGCTTGAGCTATCTTGAGTCCTTGTCATAAAAATTTCAGTTGTGAATAGGAATTTTTTTCTCCTGAAGGGGTTCTTCGTGTTATGATCAAATGAGAGATTGTGACCATCCTATTATTTCACTCCATGCCCAAAGCAGAATATCTTCTTTAGACACATGTTATTGATCAGCTTTACCCCTTACTTCTATGGCCATTTATTCCCCATATTTAAATGGTAACGTGAAAACTCCAGAAACAACTGTCCAGAGATTGATGTTTCAGTTTTGTGGGGATTTATGAGAGCAAATAAATGAAGCATTCGAAATCTGGCTAAAGACTATCAAAAATGCTCTCATAAATAATATTCAGGAAGTTCATCCATGAGTTTATGTTGCAAGATAACCTATATTGTCTTAAGGCTTCATTGAACACTTAATAGATAAGATAGCTTCTCAAATTTGTGGGCCAAAAAAAAAAGAAAACCCAAAACTCCAAAAAGGTATGTTTTTCTCTTTCTCTGCCTGGACAATAAACCATCTGAGGATAAAATTGTTCTTTATGTTTCTGGTGAGTCCTCAGACCTGACTACATCAATTATTGGAATCATCAAATCTATTACCAGTGTGATAGGTTGGGAAATTTAACTGTTATTAATAATTAGGATGAATAGCAAGAGGGATGGGAGATAAGGATGTAGCTGTACTGTTGAATGCCCATTTTAGTAGTTGCCAAGAATTCATTTTAAATTTACACAACTAAATAACTACCAGTGGTAGGATTTCTGCAGCCTGGATTTCTAAAGTAGAAATTATTCCACCCTAGGCTAGATGAATTTGTGACCAATATAACTAGAATGGAATTAGAATCCAGGTCTGTGGGATACAAGATCACCAGCACTTACACCATACTGGAGTCAGAGGGCAGACTGAGTGGTACAGCTGTCAATCACTCAGAAGTGACAGCAGTAAGTGATGGGGGCCTGCTCTGTTGAGACTGTCAGAAAGAGTGGCACAACACAATGCTGTACTCTTTTTGACCTTAACTTGGAAAGCCACAAGCCTTGTCAGTCTTGGCTATAAGACTCTTCGCCCCATCTCAGTGAAGGGCCACAGAACGTGCTAGTATTATCAGCGGAACACTCACGCCACAGGAAGTAACACTCAAATAAGAACACATCTAAGTAACAGTAGTAGCACCTTCAACTTGAAAGCCCATATTTACCCAAGTAGCACTTTCATCTGGAACAAAAAAACCTGGAGGATATTTTTAGTAGTAGTCCTGGTCATAGCAAATGCATCTGCTCTGGTGATTTCAAACTGCCTGTCTACTTTGGTGAGTATGCTGGGGGGGTTTAAGAGGTTGCTTTAACAGCCTCACATATTAAACTGCCTGTAGCCTCTGATAAATAGATGCCTGATATTAGGTTCATCTTTTTTTGCATCAGTACTTCTTGGGATGCTTCTCCTACAAATCAAGGCTTTAAAAAGTTTTAAGAATTCAGAATTCTTAACCCAGGTTGCAAATCTAATTAGATGACAAATTCTAGAAATTCTTCTCAGCAGTGAATCACAAATCCTCTCTTTTGCTCCATTCCTGCTGCTGCCCTTCTAGGCCTTGCGGGTTCATCATGTTACCCCAGTTTAACGCCCCCATGTGCAGGTGCCCCTGATTGGGCTCTGCTATCCCTAGTCTTCTCATTTATGCGTCTTGCAAATCACTTCCTGGCATACTTGCATAAAGGGTAGCTCCAGTTACTCAGTGACCCTCTTCGATTGGTCTTTTAAGATAGCAGATGAAATCCAGCGTAACTCTTCATTTTGATGTTCAGTCCATGTTTCTTGCCGTAACCTTTTAAGGCACACTATGCTTCTGTTAAAGTTGTCTCACCACTGTTTTTCCTATTGATGCCATGCTTCATTTTTGGCTTTTGGATTGTTTCTAATGTTCAAGCCTTGGCCTTTCTTCCTTCCTGGAACCTCTTTCCACGCCCACTTTGAGCTTCCCATCCATCCCCCCTCAAAGGGCTTCTCAGATGGGTTCGCTCCCTGAAGCATTTTGATGTCTTAAATAGATGAAATCGCTCCTTCTTTTGAATTTTTCAAATATATAGTTGACATTATCAACCCTTAATTATCACATACTTCCTTCATAAGAGTTACTCTTACACATCTCTTATTTTTCCCATTAAAATACAAATTTCTTAAGGTCTGGGGCTATGCCTTATTCAGCCTGCAGTGCTTGAAGTAGTACCCTGGTCAGTAATTGATCTGTACAGCTACAGATTATGTAACTACATATCTAGTTACACATGTATTTATACATATTTGAATTAAAAAGATAAAAGAATTAGGGTCACAACAAAAAGACAATAGGCCACATCTTACTTTATGGTGACTTAAATCTTCATGTGGCTTCTTGTTTCTAACTGTTAAAAACAGCCCCCAAACCACTATGTAAGTGGCGGGAGTATTTTAATCAAAAGGTTACGAAGCTTGAACACATGATTCTGAAGCCAAAATGGATAATTAAATCACTCCTTCAATGACATATTTTAAATGGAGTGCTTTTCTATCTGTTACATCTACCTGAAGAATAATATTAAGGATTTTTTCCACCTACGACTTTTGTCTCATAATAAATTGTATTGGAACCTTTTTGTGCTCCTTCTTTAAAAAAGCATACCTACTTCGACATTTCCTTAGATGGCATGCTGATCACTTAAGAATGTAACTTACAAATTATTTGCCAAGTTATTCTTACAAACTGGAATTTCTACTGAGGGGAATTACTTTAAATGTTTGGCTGACTTGGGCCTCCAACAAATAGTGCTTTTCAATTAATATTAAACAATCATATGAATATGGAGATGAAAACCTGAATTACACCTGTGCCATGGGATTTATTATCCTTCTCTCGCAATGCCTGGGATATGGAGGCTAAAAGGTCTAATGCAAACCCTGTATTATTCATTGAGAAACATCCAGTGAGGACCATGACTTGAAACTTTTGCAACTGTTGAGGACTTCTATAATAAAGCAGGTTTTTTTCAGTGTGTCATCTTATCACAAAGCAAAAATGCTGATGAAACTTTAGTGCTGCCTTCAAAAATATCATCTTCCTTTTGAGTGGGTTCTGGGTATAAAATATAGGATCCGAGATACCAATATAGAAAATTTGGAATATAAAGCTTTGTTTTGTTTTCATTGTATAGTAGAAGAACAAAAGATTAAATAATTAACCTAAAAAAAGCCACATTCAAAGGGCTGGATATTGTCCAGGCTAGCTTGGGCTATAGAAGAGCTGATGGACATTTCTCAGCTCCCATTTGGCTGTGTTTCAGAGGCCTAACCACAAGTGGTCAGGGATTCAGAAGTGGATGGATTGTCTCCTTGTTTTTATCATCAGTGTACTGTGACCTTAGTGGTCATTTAACCAACAGCATTTCTGTGTGTGTTTAATGATCATGGAATGTGAGAGTGCAGTGGTTAGGAGCAGGGACTTTGAGCCAGGCTGCCTGGTTTGAATCACTGCTCTGCAACCTAGTAGTTCTCTAACCTGCAGCAAGTTGTTGGACCTCTCAGAATCGATTTCTTCATCTCTCTGGCACTACAGTCTGGGTGAAAATCAGTGCAGCTTAGAATTGCTCTTAACCTGAGTCCCTTCTAGTGACTTTTCCAGAGAAAAGTTTGCTAATCCCCAAACTCCTGAACATAAAGATGACTTCTGAATCCCTGAGGCATTTAAAACATAGAGACAACCTGGGCTCCTATGATTTTCTCCAGAACGGAGGTAGGGGTTATCCAGGCTTCATTCTGAGGCTCTGTTGCTACTGCTAATGGACCTGAAACCCCAGGGGGATCTCCAGCTCTGACTCATCCTAACCCGAACTCACTGGATACAGTCAGAACCCACTAGGGTGGAGAATGAAGCAAGTCAGATCCCTCCTTGAGTCACTCCTCTTGGCTCCCTCTAAAAGCAGGGCATTATCTTCTGTAGTGTCTAACCTCACCGCTGGCCTTCTCTTTTCTCTTTTATTTCTTTCCCAAAGTGGAACTTGAGCCACATTAGAAAGCCCAGCAATCTAGCTGCTGCTTCTGTGTGAGGGCTGATGTTCTTTGCTGAGACTGGTTGTCTGAGTAACAGAGCATGATCTCCTGTGCACATGACTGAGTAATAGTTTCTGGGAGACTGTGGAAAGTATGCAATATTGGCATAATAGATCAAGACTTTCATCAACATAAAAGGAAAGGAATTACAAGGTACTTGCTGACAGGGAACTGTAGCTTGAGAGGGCACTCAGGGGGCAGATACACTAAAAGCATTTTGGCACAGTGAAGTGTATTTCCTGGACAGATGTGTTTCATTCGTGATGGAAGGGCCTCGCACTTCTCACGAGTTCTAACACGCCAGTTACAAGTCAGCTGAAGCCATGTTGTGTCAGATACTGTTATCACAGGAAGTTCAATGTTGTCACCCCCTTAAGGTGACATTACTTCAAGAAAGCCAGACCAGAGCTGTCTTCAGAGAAAAAGGCAGTGATCCCATTTTTATTTAGTGTTTTCTCCTCTCATTGTAGCAGTCAGATCAGGTTAAAAGTAGTGATGTTTGGTTTCGCGTCTATGCCCACACAATCCTGGATTTTTAGCATACAACTTCATTTTACCTTTTCCAATTTCTCCTTATAGATTCCAAGCAGTGTTAGTATTACTGACACTCAGAGGGCTAGCTTACAAAAGTGTTGCCTAAAAAGAATGGAGATGTTTTCTCACTTTCTCAGAAAAAGAAAACCCTTAATAAAATAATTACTACCATGTTAGTGGCATCACAAATTAAAATGCTTTTCCTATTGTGGTGTATGAGAACACCTGGGAGGTGGAGTTGTTATTTTCCTCTAGTTTCCACACTGCCTGCAACTTTTCAGCTCCTTCTCATGCCCGTTATTTTCTTTAGAGAGGAATAAGTAGATTCAGAGTTTTCCTTACCCTGGAGAGCCCCTTTTCATCATAAAGTCTAATAAGAAGGCCCCAGACATAACTGCAGTGTCCCAGACTGCCCTTTACACCAGACGGAAGGTAAAACGAGCCGATCAAGTAACAAACTACAAATTGATGCAGGCAGTGAGAACAGAAGACTGGTTTTCTGCCCTGTAACGTCTGCATAAAAGTGGAGAATATGGTTAAAAACATTGGCGGCAGCCAGTTACCGGAATAGCCGGCCCTTCCAGGAACAAATGCATTCCTAATGAACCTGCGGACACTGCACTTACCGCAACAACAGCAGGCCTTCTCACACACGCCCTCCACAGTGCCCCCCTGCACTGGGTTTATTGACCTTCTGCAACACTGATGGAGGGGCAGGCTGCCAGAGAGTGAGAGGCACAGAGCCATCCAAAACATCTTGGAAAGGCCTCGGAGAGAATTTTTTTAGTGTTTAGAAGACACACTATTCTTCTTTCTGCCAAAAGCCTTTTTTTTTTTTTGGTTAAAGAATTCAAGGAGCGAAAAAAATATATATATATGGTTTCCTAATGACATAGTCACGCTATCCCTTCCAAGACCCACAGTACCTCCCGAGATTTTGTTTCATACTAAGGCGGCTCAAGTGTCTTGATTGTAGTATAAACATACATTCTGACTGACTGAGAAAGGCTTTTTTCCCCTGTCACTGCTCATTTACACGGTTTTGTAATCTTCCTGTGTAATGAACAGTAAGTCTAGCATGAAGAAATATCTTCCACAGGACACAACCTTACTTAGACACTAAATAGTTTGGACCTCGGAACTGATTGAAGAGAGAACACGGTTTTTCCTCATCTGACTATAACCAGAGGAATGAAAGTCCTTAAAGAATGTTTCAGTCACCGCAAAGTCACCACCTGATTCACAGTTGGGTACTCATGACAACTTAAAACATCCTGATAAATATAAACTGCAGGTTTCAGGTTGGAGGAAAGATACCCTATGAATCAAATAATTCTTTTCCTGAGAAGTGTTTTACATTTTCACACTTGACCAAACTGGCTAAGGTTAAAAATTTCAGACCTAGTGAATCAAACATTACCATCTTGCTCTCCTTTATGCAAGAGATGGCATCCCTAGAAAATATCTCACTAGCTGGAATAATTTAGTTCTTCTGGCAAAGTACTAAAACTAAAACTGACATCCATTTGCCTCTTCTTTTAGGCATTGAAATTAAAGTGACTGAGTTTTTCAGCCAGGATCTGTTCTGTTTGTGAACAATAAAAACCAATGATGATATGAGCTGCGGGGCTCCAGGTAAATTACTCATAGCTGTCATCACCATCGTATTCTCTGCCCCGCCCTAAACCAAAC